CCCTCCCTGCACTGCTTCTTATGTAAGTTAAGATGTTTACAACATAATCCTTAAAGTTCCTCTGTAAATTTAGTAACAAAGACCCTTCACTGAAACCAGGCATGATGGTGCACGCCTGGCCTGTAATCTTGGCAAGCAGAGGTGGAGAAAGGACAATCATTGTGAGTTCAAGGTCAGCCAGGGCTACAAAGTGAGTTCAAGGCCAGCCTGAACTGCCCAGTGAAAGACAAAACTTCATAGAGGTTCCCAAAACCACCCCACATTTAGAAATTTGTCAGAATTCACAATACTCAATATATGAGTATACTCATGGGTACGATTTATAAAGTAAGCACATATAGTCAAGTCTCAAGAGAAATCTATAGGAATTCACAGAGAGCTTCCTAACGTTCTGTCCTCTCCAGAAAGTCACACAGAGGATACCCTGCCACCTAGCAATCTGTTTGGAGAATCACATTAGTAGCCCTGAGCTCAAGGTTTTTATTTTAGACAGGTCATGTAGGCAGCACCTGCCTAGCACACTTGAGCATTTCAAACTTCTAGAAGGAAAGCAAGTGTGCAGCATGTAATGCACTATTTGTGTAAATCATTTAGGCAAAGTGAATCGCCTGAATCATAGGGAACACTGTGGATGCTCAGACACCAGCAAGGGCCTACTTTACAAGCATACACTTTTAAGAATAGCAGTCTTTGGTCAACTAAAGCAGACTTTGGTCATTTCTGCACAGATAACCTTTAACTGTCTCCAGTACAGTCCCTATTTCTTGTAAATTCTGCACCAAAGTAAATATTGCTATAGAGACAAAGAAGGGCAAATGTTTTTTTCTTCTCTGACTGCATGCCTTAAGAAGAAAAAAGGGAAAGTAACACTACCTTAAATTATGGCAATGAAGTTATATTGATTCCACCACTTTTATCCAATTTAGAAAAATTACATGTTAGTGATATATATTCTATGGCTGAGAAATGCACCAAGATAAATAAAACGTAATTCATATAGGAAGGATCTGAAACTGTTTCATTAACTATATTTCTAATATTTTTGACTATTAACACAAATAAAATATGCTATTAATAGTAACTACAAAAGACAGTGTGGGAAGGTCACATTTTAAATTCTGGCATACTAAAATTATAGAGGTTATTCACAAATTTACTTATTTAAACATTCAAAGTATGTGAAAAGACCTCTATTCTTAGTTTTGTTTTTGGTACTGGGGATCAAACTCACAACCTCGTGTTTGCTTCTATTCTTAGTTAATAATTTTTGTACTTTTAGAGCAATCCTGAAACAATCAGTCATGATTTGGTGTGCATTATAAAACCAGGTGCTCTTGATTCCAATAGCTTAAAAAATACTTTAGGTGTTGTCACAGAAATTAGTTTTGCAAAGTACCCTAAAGAAATAACTCTAACACTATGTAGAAAGATACTTACAATTAAGGTATATGCATACATAGAACAAAAGCATGTATGTTGCTTTTTACAAGGTAACACTAGCTTTTAAAAGGTGGCCCAATGACTAACATGAGCAAAGGCCCCAAGTTTGATCCCTAGCATTAGATCAAAAGAGAAAAAGTTTAAAAAAGATGGAAAATAACACTGTGATTAATGTTTTTAATAGATAAAGCTGATTTCTAAGAACTGACAGGTTAAATGCTAGAGAAAACACTGCCAATCAATGCAACTTATTAAAGTGGTAGAAATGGTTGGGGGGAGAAATACAAAATAAATGATGATTCATGATGTGCAACTGAACTTTTTCCACAATACAATTATTTGATCCAGTTAGGACAATAGAAAAGTTGTTTGAAAACTTAGTAACTTTAGCTGAGAATGGTGGATTACTCAAGTAATCTTCAGTATTTTGTTGAAAAAATTAAGGCTATTATTATTGACTTAGAATATATAAATCTAAAAATCCTAAATTCAGAAACTGTTAATCAATTTTCTCCATTCATAATAATCACCTCATAGAGTCACTCTATGTATCTTTTATCATGGACTTATAAAGGAATTATAAATAAGAATCAAATTTATGGATTTATCAACCAAGAATGCTTTAAAATATGCAATTTTAAGCCAAAAGTAGTCCAGGCCTTTTCCTTCTTTTTTGCAAATTGAAAACTTGATAATCAGCATTGAGAGAAATGAGACTTAATCCAGGTCCTATAAGTGCTAATACAGTTTTGTAGAGAATCCTCATGATGTTGAATTTAACCTAATCTTAAATTCTAGTGGTTATATAAAATGATGTACTCACGAGGCAAAGTTACAATGTAAAGGGAAAAAGATGGTAAAATACAGAATCGCTAAATTTCTAACGTATCCTAAACTATCAAAGTTAGATGAGCTCAAAACATTTACCTATGAATTTCTGGTAATAAGCTTAAAAGTATACTGTCAGACTAAAGATTTAGGTACTCTGGCAAGAAATACATTACTATGAAGCTTTATAACTAGGATAGACAAAGAATGACCCCAAGGACTTTTGAATTGAAAGAGTTGGACAGAATTTAGTGTTTTTCAACAATTCTAGTAATATGAATAAATGTTCAGATTTTTCCCTTATTAAAACTTAAATCAAAGTTTTTCTCCACAAAAAGGATATTAAATTGATGGGATATATTTTATTGAAAAACAGCACTTTAAAATCTAGAAACACAACCAATCTTAATTACAGCTTTGGTCACTTTTGTGCCCAGTGAGACTAACGGCAATAATACTGTAAGATCTTGCCATCGAGATTCTTTTTTAAATGTTGACATTTTATTAAATTTTAAATTGGGTGTATCTTGCCATCTCATTCAAGCACACAAATCAAGTGAGAAATTTTAAAAGTGGACACGAATAAAGGTATGACTGGGACAAGCATCATCAGGCATGTGTGTTATCCTAACTGTGGACTGAAGCCCAGAACCAACTGCATAAAATAAAACAAACCACAATCCAAAAATGTCAACAAAACCAGTCGGTAAAAACTAAAATAATACCAGCCTCTATTTCACTTCCCACAGTAATTTCACTGTTCATTCAAATTCAGCTTTGCAAACAATTCTAAGTAATTAAAGAATATTCTTGCTCAAGATGATTATGCTCAGTAAGATCAATAATCATACAACTAATGAAACCTAAGTTGAAGTGTATACTGTCTAAGGTTCAAATTTTCAAAGTGAATGTTAGACAACTGTTTGTACTCTAGGCTAAAAAAAAAAAAGTAGAAGAAGCTATATAAATACTGGTGAGGTGGATTTCTGTTACTTTTATACATTTTAGAACATATTATCAAATAACTGAAATAAAATTAATATATTTATCCCAAAATCTGTTTTTTAAAAGTCTTCAAAAAGATTTTTTTAAAAAATACAAAGTATTTCCAAATAATGAATTTTGGCCTAAAAAAAGTATGAAGGTATTTTCTTTCTGTAGCATTTTAAGTTTCTCATGTTTCAGATTTTAAAATCCATTTAATTAAATATTAATCTCAATTCCTCAAAGACTGATGTAAAATGAGTTTTAAAAATTATTGTTATTTGGGTAATATTTGACATTACTTGAAAAAGTATATTATCCACAACAGAAATATAAATTATTCACTGACGTAATAAAATGTTTATAAATCAAATTAAGTCTCATTTAATCCTAAAAGTTTCAAGTCATAAACATGTACAACCTTTGCAAAGAAGAAATAATTCAAGGGCCAGAAGATTCAACTGAGAGAAATTTATGTGAAAAAAAGTAACTTAGATTCAAAAATCCTATGCTGACTTTTTAGAGCATACAAATTCTTGCTGGTCACAAATAGCAATAAAATTTCTATACATTGAAGAACTGTCCCAAGACACTTGGTGATAAAATGAAAACAGAGTAAACAGGAATACTGATGTCAATTGCCAACTGATTCCTTCACAAACCCTGTTTTCACAACAGCAACCCCTTATGCTTAGGGGAATTAAAAGTTGCTGAACTCAACAATCCCTTCAGTTAAACAAACAGACCCCTCATAGAGCTGTCCAACGCTGCCCAAACTATCCATCCTTTAGTCGAATCAGTCAGTTTCATGAATTGTAGGATTTATCTTCAAGTCCAGTGCTGACTCAGAGGGTAGCTTGTTCCCTAGAGAAAACAACCAACAAAAATCAGAACAGCTACTGCTCATAAGCTCTTTCAACACCCAAGTGGAAAGGACAAACTTATTGGGTCCAAAAAAACAATTCAACTTCCTTTCAACTACAGAAGTAGCCAATAAACCAAAGGCATTTATTTATATGCCACAGGCGTTCTTAAAGCTTTCAGTCTGTTACAGCAAGAATGTTAAATAGCCAACTAATTTTACAAGAAAAGCCATCATACAATCCATCATTCCTCACTGAGGAAGACATATACAGGGAATATAAATGGCAAGTTTAAAGCCAAAGCTGGTTTTTGCTTTATTTTATCTTTGAAAAGCTGCTTTTTAGTGTGTGCTGGGGTAGGGGAAATTAAATGTCTCCACTCAGAAGCAGTGGACATGTCTATAGGAGCTGTGTTTTATGTCATACAAAATAAGCTAGTGAAATGTTACATAATTTTTTAAGTGCAAGGTTCTCGTTCAATAGTTAAGAGAAAATACTCAAATTTGAAAGAGAAAAAGAATGACACTGTATTGTTGCAGCTCTCAAACAATGACCTGCTTTCCTTCACATGTCTTTGGGGGAATAAAAGAACAGGCACTGCCTTTGAGCTTCAAGAGACACCACAGCAATGGAAAGATTTCATTTCACAAGACAGTGGGGTCTTGTCTACAATGATATGGGAGGTGGGAAAAAAAGTAAGACTAGGGGAACCAAAGCACTCAAGGTAATTTCAAAAAACTGAATGTCATTTTGTCCTTTCACTAAAACGTTTTCATACATTATTCAAAACAGTCCAGGAATCCTAAGATGACCAATGCAACTTTTCATTAAAAAATTATCAATGCTGTTAATTAATCAAGTGTGAAAATACAATCCAATCAGAAATTTCCTTCTTATTTTTAGGCAGCATTATGAAAAATTCTCCATTTTCAGTCATAAAATTGCCTTGGAGCTCAGCGTTGTGGAGAACAATATAGCAATAACATCCACTATCTTGAAAACTGTACTTGTTTGATTATAGGCATCTGACATTTTCATAATTAATAGTTCCTTTATAAAGATGCCTCATTTTCCTAGGTTTCTCAGCTTGGGTTCCAGAAGTAAGCACTGATGAACTAAGACACCTACTTTATGAAAGGAATAGCACCTATTATGTACTATCTTTGGGATAATGGCAAATAGTCATGGAATTTTCTGTGTTTTGTGGTTCAAATGAAAAATCTCTACCCAGTTTCCTTAAATTGTGTACCGGTAAATTCCATCCTACAGAGAAGCCTTCTTTGCCAGTAGTTTAAAAACATTAATTAGTGCTCTAGAAATGCTTCAGGATTACGCCAAATGCTTGATTTGATAATAACTATTTTTCTGTATTTACTAAATCACCAAACACAAACCAGTATGCATTTTTTTGTTAATGCCAACATACTTAATCTGTGTTATTTTCATTCAGCCCTCAAAAAACTTCAGTAACCACTGCACATATTAATGATTTTTTTTGGAAGAAAGTGAATCTGCAATAATCTTTATTTACATGCACAAGTACTCAGAACTGAATAAATGCACAACTTATCAATGTGAAACATGATTTTCATTATGATTAACAAAATATAGAACAAGAGACTAAGAAATATAAGACTAATTTTTATCTTTCACCTACCAATTTCAAGCTATTGTACTGAACAAAATACCTAACATTTAGCCTCCGTATTTTCACTGAATACCTTCTTGAGCTAACGTAACAGACTTGTACTTATAAATGCCAGTTTGTCTGTATTATATGATTAGATGTGGGGACTATATCTAGACTTTGTGAATTCTGCTATTTAAAAAAAAAAAAAAAAAGGTTGCAAACCACAGTTCCAAGATCTAATTAAGCTTTGGTGCTCCTGCTCACAGGTTCTCCAGAGGTAGAAGTAATAATTAAGTCTAAACGCTCCATTGCCTATTTTTGCTTTATAAGGATGTTCAAATCCATCTTTCCAGTTTTTCCTCCCACTAGTCTCTTCTCTCCTCATTGTGAAAAACCCAAATACAATGCGTGTGTCAAACACCAGAAGGCTAATGGCAAACAAAACTAAGAATTATGTGAAATAAAACTAAGAAACATGAATTAAGAAATACATGAAAACTCTATGCTCCATTTTCTATGAATTTTGTCTAAGTCCCAGCAGTGACTTAGAGCACAATGAAACAAAACTGTCCATACGAACTAAATAAAGCAGTTCAAACTATCATACTTAATCATCACCATTTTCTTGTAGGACTGTTACATGCATTGGTACCAAAATATTCTTTGCTATAAAAAATAAACAAAACAGTACCAGCTTATGAATTGCCTTGCCGCATCTCCTCCAAGCAAACTGAGGACCTCTCCACAACCAACATTTACAGATTAATGCCTATTGCAGCAGAAAAAACCTGTGTCCAGTCCATGGCTCAGACCAGGCCTAACTGTGATTTTCTTTACCTAACTCAGATTAAATTACTTTTTAAAAGTAAATTACATTTTTAAAGTTCACTGAGTGAGAATACTGCTCTATTCTACTACACAGTTAAAACCAACAGAAAATAACTAACAAACTCGATGTGCTCTCAACTATGTATTTAAAACATCTGAAGAAATCTTATCAATCTTGAACATTTTCTGCTCTAGAAGTAAGGGGGTATGTATCAGAATCTCTTGTGGTTTTTTTTTTTAAATACAGATAAAGGCCAACATTTAAAATCTGATGTTTCTAATCCAGTAAGTCTTTAAGGCGACAGGGAAATGTGTATTTCCAAAGCACCCTAAGTGATTCTGATCTTTACCTACATATGAAGGCGTCCTGGAAAGACTTCATGAAGTCTAGTACTGAGTCAGGTTCTTGAAAAAAGGATTATCTGGGCTTGATTTCACACAGTCCACATTCTACCATAAAGTCCATTAAAAGGTTTAAGATTTTTCAATTTTAATATTTCCTGTGGGTCTCCATGCATGACTATAATAAGGAATACAATGATAAAAATACTTCCAGAAGCAATTAAATTTAGTGACAAATATGAATAAAATAACTTATAAACAAAATCTAAAACAGTAGTATATATTTAAAACACTATAAAAGCATGGGACTGAAGGATGTTAACAAACACTAACAAAGTAGAAAAATGCTGAAGAAAAAGACATTTGACCTCAATCCATGAAAACTAGGTAAGCAGTCAAGAAAGAGGAGTTTCCCATGCAGAGCAAGGCCCAAGCACAGACACAGAGATGCGGAAAAGCCTAACCATGTTCAAACACATAGTCTTGAAAAACAGGATATATATTCTGTAATACAATGGATCTGACATAAAGTAAAATTGAAGGAACTAAGCTTATTTATTCAGAAAAGAAATATGGTATTATTTAAAAGTATGGGATATTCTCCAGGGCCATATTCCAAGGCCTACAGAAACCTATAACTTAATGCCTTTTCTATCTGAACTAAGCACTTAACATGCAACTATGCTTCAAACTTTTGCAGTTTTAGGTACAACAGCAAAAGCAGCATGAATTGCTTTTCTCTGTGCAATTTCAAAATAGAAGATCTTTTTAAATGATAGATTTTAGCAGCCTCTGCATATGATTAATATGCATTAAGTTGAAAACGGTAACCTTTTTACTTTAAAAAGTATTTTACACCTTTTCTTTAGCATTATCTTAGTTCCCAGGCTCATGAACCTTGTACTTTGGGGCCATCATTAAGTAAATTAAGAATTACTGAAACACTACAATGCGCAGGCTGTCGATTTGATTATCATGATGGCTTCGAACAAGCAGGTAATGCAAAAGAGTAAAATGCGGGGACAAAGGGGTGATTCATGTCCTTTAGAAGAGTGCAGGGTGGAGGGAGATTTCATACCATTCAGACAGAGTTCAACTTAAAATCTAGGAATACTCCTAGAATTTTCCATTTAATATTTTCAGACTGCAGCTGACTATACATAAACTAGAGAAAGGCAAACTTCAGATAAGGGAAACTACTGCCAATTTTTTCTATTATTATATTTTTTAAAAAAATATTTTCTAAGCATCTCAACATGGATCCTGTCACAAGGGAGGTTATATACCAATGGACGTAAATAGGACTTTCAATTTAAATAAAACTTCATATTGCAGTAAGTTTTAAAACAGAAATAAACAGGTTAACACAATAAAAAATAATGGGAAATTTCCTTTACATTGGTCTAAGGCTTTCTTTTGTGACAGTCTAGCTGAGAACTAGAACAGAAAGCAAGTCAGCATGGTGGCACACATCTGCCATCCCAGCATACGGGAGGCTGAGGCTTCGAAGAGGGTCTTGTTTGACAAGCTACACAGAAAGGCTCTGCCTCAAAAAGCAGAGGGAGGGAGGTGGGGGAAGAGACAGAGACAGAGACAAGAGAGGTAAGAGAAAGAGAAACAGAATCAGAACCAGTCACTGCATGAGAAAAACAAGTGGAACCCACACACAAAGAACATGCGTCGAGAACCTGCACATTCCAGGGAGGCCATAACTAAGTTCCCAGGAAAGAGTGAGTGGTAAGGTTAGAGAGGTCAGGGTGAAATACAGAGTATGACAGCAAGGGGCTTCGGTTTTATTCTAATAGCGACTAGAAAACCAAGATGAGATTTAAGACTACTTTTGTAATTAGATGGAAAAGGAACTGGAGGAGTAGAATAGCTCAGCCACATGAATAGTATACAAAAGAAGCTGACGGCTTGGTCTAAGATGACACAGTAAAAACAGAAGTAAATGCTTTAGCAATATAACAGAAAGGCCAGATTGACAGACTAGACAGGGAAAGTAAAGGGAAAAAAACAAATAAATGTTAAGTTTCTTACTTAAGCATTTTTCAGAGAATGATGATTGGTTCACACAACTTCATGAAACCTCAAACAACGTAGAACCTTAACTCAGCAAATACAATGTAGAGGAAAAATTAATGAAGTCTAAACTAAGGCACCATGGGGAAAACAGGACATCTTCTAAGTCAACTATGAGATTTTCATGTAATTGGATGAAGAGGGAACTAGAACTGAGTAAATGACTTCACTAATTTGGAATCTTGTCACATAAAGAAATCATATATTCATGTGCACATAACAAGAGCTCCAAAACAATCATATTCAAGTTCCCCAAAAATGAAAACTTTTAAGACAATACATCAATGTTTTCTTGTAAGTATAAGCATGCAGAGCAGAAGTATCTGGAGTGGCAGAGAGCCCTATTCCCTGTCACTGCAGAAAGACTAATGATTCTCCATTGTCACACCTCCTTGCAACACTGGTTTTTAACTAGAATTGGACATCAAAATTCCCAAAAAAGACTTACTAAAATAGATGTGTAGAGCTGGATGGAGAGAAAAAGAAAGGATGTAGGTAAGAAATTGGACTGGTAAATTTAGGGTGGGAACCAGTTAAGAATGCACATACTTAAATACAACCTGGGAAAGGCAGATGTGCAAACTCATTACCATTAAAATTACTGGGGACTGAAACTGAGAGTACTATGTTATATCCATCACTCCCCTCTTTTTTTTTTTTAATTTTGAGAAGCTAGACTCAAACTTGCAGCATTGCAATCTTCCTGCTTCAACCTCCCTAGTAGTTGGGATTATAGAGGGTGTACCACTATGCCTGGGTAAGCCAACATTATTTTTATAAAAACTTAATTATTAGCCGTTTCTAATATTAATGATCCAAGTCATAAGGTAAATAGAATCAGAAGTATTTCATGAATGTAAGTAAACTTAAGCAACAAAACTTGTCTTACTATAACTGGTCTGGGGTGTGACTCAATGATAGAGCCCTTTGCGTTAACAGTGATAGGCCTTATCCACACCACAAAACTCAAGTAGCAAAACAAAAGGTTTACATAATTATGCTTCAAATAGATTTTTGGGGGGGAGCGGGTGTCATGTTCCCTACTGATTTTACATATATTATGATAAAATTAAGTGTAGGCAGCTATTTAAAAGCTCCTCCAAGCAATTCATGCATGGATAATGCAACTTCCTGTAATTACAGGTACGTAGTTAAAACTGTAGGAGTCATGTATGAGACACAAAAACCGCTTAATAAAAATTTTTTAAGGAGTCATGAATGAGAAATAGAAATCTTAATAAAATTTTCTTAAATATCTCTGATATTTAATTTGTTGTTTGTTTTGTTTTGAGGCAGGTTTTCACTATGCAGTTCAGGTTGGCCTTGAACTCACTTTGTAGCCCAGGCTGGCTTTGAACTTACTGCAATCCTCCTGCCTCAGCCTCCCAAGTGCTGGAATTACAGGTATATGCCATCATGCCAGTCTCCAATATTTAAAAAGTTGGAAGATGTACTGGTATTTTGCTGCGTCAATTTATTTAATGTGAGAAACCAAAAATTTCCATTGAAACAAATTATTTTTCATGCAATAATGTTTTTACATTGGAACTATACTCTTTTTATAAAAATAGAGAAAACTCAGAACTCTCACATTTAAGAGATTAAGGTAGATTTCTAAAAAAGACTTCCAACCTGATGTTTGCCAGTGAAACTAAGAAAGTCTATTTCAACTTTACTCTGATTTTATGACATGGTGAAGGAACTCTAATATTCAAGGAATAGATAAAATATTCAAAATACAAAACTGATCTACAATATTAAAAAATTCGTATTTTTCCTCCAAAGACAAGAAGTTACAATTCCAAGAATATGAACATCGTAATTTATAAAATACTAGGAAGTAATACACTTGAGCAAACACAAAAATCTCTTTTACAGAAAAGATCAAAACATACTACCAAGCCAGGTAGTGGCACACATCAGAAATCCCAGCTATTAGAGAATTTCAGGAACTTCATTTTGACTGAACACCTATTTCTGACAGAAGGCAAGTGGACTATCTGGGTATGAGAAACTCTGTGTTAAGAAAATGATGCAGCACTCAAAAGCTTCCTCACAAAATGCATGTAGCCTTCGTGATTCGAAGTCTAGCACACACTCTGCAGTAACATTTGATGGGGACCACAGGCTGCACAACTGTTCTCCTCTGCATGGCCTGGCACAGAGATCCTTAACCTAATCTCACCCATGACTCTCCCAAACGAGATGTCATTAATTAAAAACAATCACTAAAATACAACTCATATAAAAAAAGTATTTAAAGTCAGTCCTGTTAGGGTTTCAGTCTTGACTTTGGAATGTTACCCATCAGCTTGTAGAAAGGTAACTTACTTAGCTGGCTATCATACTTGAAGAAACAGCAAAGTGACCTATCTGCCTCCAAACTTGGTGAAATGTCCTGAAATGATGCGATCTTTCCTGGTCTCTTCAGTGGTGGCAACCTTTCAAATCATAACACTGACATTATTTAAACAAAAAATCAAAGCAAATAGGGTAAAGAGAAAGATTAACTACTAAATTACCTTTTGGGGATCAAAAAAACTACTTCTCTGTTCAAGCAAAAGTGAGCGATTAACAGTAAATGGGGCCCCTCATTCATAGTGATAAATTATGCTGTTTTGTTTATTAAAAAAAAAAAACATATTCTCAAATGTCTGATTATGAAGGTTAATTATAAATATTCACAAAAGGTAATATAAGGTTAATATAAACAATAAAAATATTATTTTGGATTCTAATGAGTAAGATTGTACCAAATTGAAAACAAAAATTAAAAGTTTACTTCAAGAAAATACTTGATTAAATCAGCAAACACTTCCTAACATTAAAAACAATGTAGTCAATTTTTAAGGTATTTTTCTTTTTTGTAACACATTTTAAACATATTTATTAGCTGTAACACATAAGTACAATATATGTGATAATTAGCTCCAAACTTGATGGTTTAGTCACACTTCTTATGCTATTGATTTTTCAGGTAATCTGAAAGTTTTATTTGACAACGTGATATAATAATTAATTTACATTATTTTTGGTCCATTAACATTACCAAAGTAGAAGAAATCCCTGTTGCCCAGTTTTATTCAATTTGTATTTGTGATCTTGATTGAGCTTCAGTAACCCCTGTAACAATGAATTCAATAACCAGTTATTCAGAATAGACATAAACCAGAAATGAAGCAAAACTACAAAACTAGTCTCAGATGAAAGACAACTTAAAGGCCATATACCTTATTCACAATGCTGCAATTAATGTCCTGATTCAAAGGTTTTTTTCTCATTTTAAAAGAAAAAATTGTATTTAAAATGTATTTGTGTTCTTAGCCCTCATTAGATTCAGACAAAGAGGACAGGCTTTCAGAGCAAAGTGGAAAATCAGAAACAAATAGCAGTATCACCTTTGGCTCATGGAGACTTAGAAACTCTGGGGAATGGGACCAGCAAGTGCTGGGTTTCACAAGCTTCTAGTTGACTAAGATGGAGAAACACTGCACCAAAGGTAAAAATACTAGCAGCACAAGAAAGTCATTAGTGAAAAGTCAGGAAGAACTCAAAAAGGGTTCAAATAAGCTTCCCTGAAAATGGCTGCTCAAGGTACTATTTTATCAGATTGAGAGGCAAGAGAAAAACCTTACCTTCAAGGAATTACAATCTAATATACTGGAGCAGAAGGCCAATGAAAAGGATAAAGAATCTTAGCATTTATGTAACATTCAAAGAAACTTCTCCAGAAATTCTTCTACCTAAAAAGTATCAACTGTACTCTGATTAAATACAATTATCAAGGCATGTATTACTGAGCATGAATCAATAAAAAAGACTTAAGTATTTTGAAGACAGAACTATGAATTTTGGCAATCATCCTGTGTGAATACTGGGGAAGACATAACATTACAACAATTAAAACTATAAACTCCTGATATCCAAAAAGAATCCAAGTACACTGTTAAAGATGTATTTTGCTAGCTGAATTAGTTACAGTAGCTGCTTTGGTAAGGTTTTAAAATTAGATACAGAAGAATGAGAATAGGTTTCAAAAAAGAAAGTAGATACAAAAGAGATAAACAAAATAATGCTTTAAAATGTATATTCATGAGATTACTGGGATCGACTGTCACCATTCTGCATCTATACAAGACTGAGAAATATAGCCTAGCTCCTTAAAACAATGAAGTCCAGAGTCTGAAGAAACTTCATGGGAGAAACTTCAGGCAAGATCCAGCTTGGTTCACTCCTGCTCCTCCATGCTTTCCCTCTTCCTGCTGATTGCAGAGACGCTGAGCAGCCACTGGACCTGTGTCCCTAACAGGTGATATGGAGAAGAGCATGCTAACCAACCTTATCTGCTGTTACAAAACCAAGAAGTGAATTTTTGTCATGTTTAGCAATTATATTTGGGATATCTTTGTTTCAAGAGTTTAACCTATCACTACTTCACAAATAGCAGGCAGTGAGATTATGGCCCCATAGTATCCATAGCTTAGAAGGCAGTTGGTAACCAAAAATACACTAACATTCTATTGATCTGTAATGTTTTCTCACAGGTACATTACCCCTACCCTTCAAAGTACTATTAGTTACAATTTTAGGAAAACATCACTAAAATCTTTTTATAATCCATCTAAAATATGGAAAACCATTTATGAAATTATAAAAAACTTAAGATACATCAGGAAGAGCTTCATGGCTAGAAACCCAGAACTAGACATTACGTAAATGTTCAGACTACATTAGGGGTTCCGCTAACATTTGTGACTAGGTTTGTATTCTTGTGAGCAACAAAGGGTTTAAAAAGGGCTACATCAGTAATTCTTCTTTCAACTAAGCCCTTCCCACCCAGCCCCCTCTACAATCTGGAAGACAAAAAGGATAGCTTTCACCGTTAAGTTAAGAATCAAGGGATAAGAAACACAAGTTAAGAAACAAAAAGACTGTTTGCATTTCTACAGAATTAATATGCTCCTGACTGTAAAGTATCACAAACAGTGAACTTATTCACTGAATACTCTCTGTAATGAGTAACTACAATCCACTATGCCGGAGTGAGTTAAAGGATCAGAGAAGAAATGGTCTGCGGAGCTCACTACCTATTTGCCTGAAAGTGGGAAAGCAAAAAACAAAAAAAGACTAAGAATCATCAATGTTCTTAGGTTTTAATTTCATGCTCTTCTCTGCCTTTCAGTTCATTCAGAATACTGTAACACAACAACAATTCACCCAGACTCTCTTCACCTCTACTTATGAAACACAGATGAGTATGTTGGGATTTTCTGCTCATACAAACTAAATCAAGGAAGTCCACCCATAAGCCATTTAAAATCCTTTTTTAAGTCTAACACAAACATCATATACAATCTCTTTCTTCTGTCTCTTATCACTCTCTTCACTCTTGTCCATGTGCTAGCCTATATCCACAAATAGACCCACATGTCACAAAGAAATTTTAAATTTGATACACTTTAAAAATCATGTTATCTTTAGCCAGATTGACAGTGAGAAAAAAAAAATCATGTTATCTTCTTCTTATAGAAATAAAGACTCTAAAACCCAAAAACCAAGTGATACATAGAAAACCAGTGACTTTCGAATAATTGATACCGTGTTCTAAAAACCTTTGAGTTTGAATCAAATGGAAGCAGTCAAAAAAGCCACAGGAGACTGGACTGTGCGGCAGCTGCAGGTCACTGAGCCCGTGGAAGGAAAACCTAGGCACACCCATTAAGTCCCTGCCTCCTACTTAGGGAGAGGACAGCAGGGACTGTGATTTAAACAGGGAGCCCACAAGCGGAATTCTCAAGCCAAGCAGGACAAGTCAGCCAGGGATTTCCCACAACAGAATCTGGCCCCTGGGAGCTACTGAAGCCTTACCTGACAGGTCTCCAGGCCAGCTGCAGCAGCCATATCATCCCCTCTGTACCACAAACGTCTCGCCTCAGTTTCCTAAAATTCCTGACTGGGACAGGAACAGCCAGCTAGGCTTCTCAGTCTGCTTACCGTCCTAGCGCTCTACCTAGCAGCCTTCTCTGGGACGTCACGGTCTAATCTCGGACAAGCAAACCCAAAGCAGCCCTTTCTAGGGTGAGCTTAACAGTACAGGGCAATGAAAAGCTCTTCTTCACAAAAACCTGGGGATTCCTGATACTAGAGGAAAAATAATTAATTTTTCAAGTTTATTTTTTAATGTGGAAAATATTCCTCAAACTAGAGAACCTTCAAAGTTTGAATGATTCTGCTGAATACATCTGAAAAACAAAGTAGTTAAAAAAAATGGAAACACGAAATGTAATTTAAAAATAATACAAATGCTTTAAAACAGATTTTAAGAATGCTTTGGTACCATAAAACACACAATGACACGAGATTTGATGCTCATTAACTTCTAACAGGACTGTTTTACTTCCTATTTAGCTATTATTCATTCACATACTTGAACATTTGCAGTTTTTAAACATTCTTCAAAGATGTTTATTGAATTATTAAAATTCACTGTACTTATTAAATATCCACCAATTTAAAAATTATCTTCCAAGATAAAAATGAAGCTATATATCTATATCTATATCTATATCTATCTATCTATCTATATATATATATATATATATATATATATATATATAAAAATGAGTAAGCACCACTCACGCCTAGATTTGTGGAGATGAGAAATGGCATGTTCCCTTCTTGAGGAATTTATAATATACCTTAGAATCCAGATTAATATCATAAGCAAATGTAAGAATATTTTTTTTTTTGGTCTTTTTTTTTCGTTTTTATCGGTACCAGGGATCAAACTCACGACTGCAAGGCAGGCGCTTATGCCGCTGAGCTAAATCCCCAGCCCCAGTAAGAATATATTTATGCTAAACTATCTCTAGTAATAGTACAAAAATAGTACAAAAAAACTTGGAGAAATCAGTTCATATTAAAATATCAAAGTAAGTTTTGAGTAGAATTATCCCACAGAATCCATTTAAAGGTAGACTCTTCAAAAATAATTATAAGGAAAATATCCTTAGAATTGTGTTTTCTGGGTGTGGTGGTGCATGCCTGGAATCCCAGAACTCAGGAAGGTGAGAAAGAAGGATCACTGAGAGTTCAAAGCCAGCCCAGATGATACAGTGAGTTCAAAGCCAGCCTGAACTACACAGTGAGACCCTGTCTGAAAAAAACAAAACAAAACAAACAGTATCATATCCTGTTAAACATGGTGATAATGAAGATCATATATTTTTAATAATTATACCACTTAATAAACCCAAAACATTTAAATGACAGCTTATATGGTTTTGGTGCCTATGGTGACTTAGTACAGAGCCTAAGACATGTACCAGAACTGTAAGTATGAACTTAAGTATGCAAAATTACATATTCACTCTATAATAATTTACCTGCCTAATGGTACAATCCTGACCTGGGTATCAGAGTAATAATACAGCTAAGTAGCTATATCTATGGGCTTCATTTAATCCACAATAGTATTCCAGTCCTTATCGTGTATAAAAGTTCATTATTTTTTGCCTATGATATTAATTTTAATATTTTCCCCAGTTTGCCTTATTCTCTCCTCTTTCACTCTTACAAATCTTATGAACACACATAAATACAAAACGAGTCTATAGAAAAAGGGCTTTCACATCTAAAATATTTTGGTATATTCCTTTGAACAAAAATAACTAATATTCGTAATAGAAGACAATAAAAATTTTAGGTCAGCGTAACACAGAATTTTCATTTTCATTCAAACAGGATCTACACTGGGCTGCCTTGGTTAGCTAATGAACTATTGCAAATGACTAAAAAAAGGATAGATCACAATTTATGAGGAATGCCACTTCAGACTAGCACTATAAACCTCAAGAGTGTCCCCCCTAGATCAGTAACATGTGAGTACTGTCTAAACCAACTACTATACTATTTTGATAGATTAAAACTCCATTTCCTTATCTAATATGAATGCCATACACATAATGTATCACAGATTTTTATTGTTTTTAGCACAAAACTTTACAATTGAAGATCTTCTTACCCAAATCCTTCAACACTACC